AAGCCAGGGCAATTCAGCATCTGCCCTATGTGACTCTCACTGCCTTAAACCTGAGCTACTATGTAGGTAGCCAAAGAGGGCTGGCTGTGTGGGCTGCAGCCTAGGCATCTGGGGACTTTTTCCACAGAAGGGGAACCCCTAACAGTGTCCTTATGGAAGGCTGTAACTTTACTCCACATATGTGCCAAGTGTGTCCATCTGAATGTTTAATCTAACCTTTGAAATCTTCCTATACCTCTAATCAGTATTGGCAGATAAGCTTAAGGAATAACAAAGTGTTTTAGCTGTAGAGGAGAGTTACATCAATGGAGAATAAGATCTAGAACACAAGAGACAGATTTTAGCCTAATCATGAAAGATTTAAATGCCAGATTGTGGAAAATAGATTAGAATCTAAGTTTTAAAGGAGAGTAGGACCCTGACAGCTTTTGGATGGAGAGTTAAAGTGATCAAAAAGTTTAATCATCCTATCAGACAAGTAAATCTAGTTCACAATATATGTTGGAAAGAAGACCAGAGATCAGTTCCGTGAAAGATGCTGGAGGACCAGCATCTTCAGTTGGCTGAAGGATTGGTAACATGGAACTAATAACAGGACTAATTTCTGAAATAGACTGATAGAGCAGTAGCCTGAGACGCAGGGGAGACCTAGCCTGACATCTAGTGGAGAGATGTGATTTGCAAAGCATTGCAATTGACTTCACCATTTCCTGTTTCCTGCCTGAACTCCCAGGAACCATCAAGCTCACGTTTAAGTTCTCACAGCTTAATTTCTAAAGGCCACTCGAAATGGTTTGACACAAAGTACATCAAAATAGTTATAACAGTAATAGGAAAAAAAGACTAAATATTTGCTTTACAATAAAACACCCATCTTTTCCCCTTGGGATTAAAAATTTGGCTTTTATCCTAAAAATTTAAGGCAAGGAAAAAAATTTTTCAATACTTCTGAATTTTGTGATGGCACATCCCATTGCGACTATCATTGATTATACAGATACAGAAATGGACACATTCAACCTTTTTCCCACCTTTTATTCCTTCTTGGAATTTTCATTCTTATTTATTTTAGTTCTTTCTTTTTCTTAAACTTGGTTTCTTTACACATTACACAATCCACTTCCCTGTTTTTCTTCTTCACTGGCAAGCCTCCTTTTTTTCTTACCTGCATTCCTAGGATTTGAATGGTTTAAAACTTTTAAATGGTACAATATTCACTTTTTCAAATATATACCTTTAATCCTTGGCTACCAAAGAACGGAAAAACTCTCAAATTATAGAAAATGCCTTTGAACTCTTAGGAATGATGACACAGTCTTTTCAGATTTGCAGTAAATGTAAAGCCATAAAATGAAAAAGAGCAAAGAAAAACATTCGCTTAAGAGTACTATCTTGTTTCTAAATTTCTTGACGTGTCTCTGGTCTTATCTTGAATGCTTTTTTTTTTTTTTTCTCCAACTCATATGTTGGAACAAATGAAAGGTATCTAGAAATGTCTGGTGAACTTGAAACACTTTTGGAACTGGAAAAGCACAGAAATTTTTTTTCAAGTCAACCAGTAGTCAAAATGGAAAGCATATTTTTAAACCCATTCTTCCTCAGAAGAATAAGCCTAATTAGTGTGAAGAAAATAGAGTAGCAGCAAATTTACCCAAAGAAAGAAAGTTAACTGGACCATAAACCAAATAGTGAAGAACAGCTTCTTGCCTTCCATTAAAAATTTTTTAAAATAAGACTTATTTTTTCCTTTTTTTCTGTCTCTTCAGGGAAACAACTTACAATAATAATGGGTCATGTATGTACTTAAACCAGATGCCATTTCACTTATGTGGTAAAATTGTACAGTTTGCTAGCTATAATGTTTTTAAAATAAATCTCATCCAGAACGAAAAGTGGAACAACTCTTTTGCTTTTGAGAGCGTTCATTCTTCCCCTAAGGTTAGCAAACTGTGAAGAATCCTGAGACAGAAGTCAAAGAGACCAGAAAAGGAGAAGACTTGAAAGTTTCAAAGAAGAAAGAACCATAAGCAGTAAACTAGCTCAAGAAGACTAACTACTTGAAGTGTCTAAGTCTGAATTTCAGAGTCAACAAGATAGCAGTGAAGGAGAGTTTGAAGATGTGTGACATGTTGCCTCCCATACATTAATAGCATCTAAGAAGCCAAATGGGCAAGAAATTCAGGGCAGAAGGTAAGGGGCAATCCAGAATGCTGCTAGCTTTGTTGTTGTGAGTAGAGAGAGTTCGTTTACACAGAGGACACTATGAGGAGCCTCTGCTACTTAATATCTGTGTGAACCTTAGAGTGAAACCTAAGCCTTATTATCCTTAAGTGTAAACTGGAACACGTATTAACTTTCTATTGCTGCTGTAAAAGATTGCCACTGCCTTAGTGGTTTAAAACAATAAAAATGTATTATCTAACAGTTCTGGAAATGAGAACTCTGAAACTAATTTCACTGGGCTAAAATCACATCAGCAGGACTGCAATTCTTCTGGAGGCCCTTTGGGAAGAATCCATTTATTTGCTTTTCCCTCTTTTAGAGGCTGCCTGAATGCCTTGGCTTTTGTCCCCCCTCCATCTTCAAAGCCAGTAATGGCCAGTCGAGTCTTTCTCATCTTTCTCACATATCATTCTGAGTGACTCTCTTGCCTTCCTCTTTCACTTATAAAGGCTCTCACAACTGTGGCGGGCACCCAGACAATCCGGAATATCTCCCATCTCAAGGTGAGCCAATTAGCTGCTTTAATTGCATGTGCAGCCTCAATTCTCCCTGACATGTAGTATAACCTATTCATTTGTGAATTAAGGCATGGATATCACTGGGATCACTATTCTATCCACCAAAGACACAGAGTTATTGTAAGAAATACATGAAATAACATAGCATGCTAAATGTTTACATACTAACTATAGAAAGCAGTCAATTAACAATATTCACATATAAATACAGAGAGCTGGGGCATGGTAGCTCACGCCTGTAAATCCCAGCACTTTGGGAGGCTGAGGCAGGCAGATCGCGAGGTCAGGAGATCGAGACCAGCCTGGCCAACATAGTGAAACCCGATCTCTACTAAAAATACAAAAATTAGCCAGGCACGCCTGTAGTCCCAACTGCTCAGGAGGCTGAGGCAGGAGAATTGCTTGAACCTGGAAGGCGGAGGTTGTGGTGAACGGAGATCGCACCAGTGCACTCCAGTCTGGGCAAAAGAGCAAGACTTCGTCTCAAAAAATAAATAAAAATAAATAAATAAATACTTACAGAGAAGGTGAATTAGTCACTAAATCCAACCTAACTCAACAAATACAAAGTATCGAGGATGTATACAATGGCTGGATTTTCTCTTTAGGTATGTAAATATGCATTCCTATTTATGCCCATTGCCTTTTAAACTCATTTATATATCCTTTGTAATGCAGGTTCAGTCATTTCATAAATTGAAAGCATTCACCACACATTGGCTTCCATGAGATCATTGTTTCAGCAGCGAGACAATCAGTGTTTGCTAAGGGAAATTGTGGCCTTGCTACAGTTAGCAAAAAGACACAGTTATTAAGGCAAGCCAGGCACATCCTCAAAGAGAAGTCTCAGACATAGAAACATCAAGTGGGAGCCTCTAAAGAGAACACTGGGAGCTCCACCGCTTTCCATTATGCTCGATTCAGTTCTGAGATCTAAATTGCTGCTGATTTTTCATCTTTTAATCACTTCACAGAAGTTAAGTGTCCTTGGGAGGCACTACAGAGGGTAGCACAAATCTCATCTCATTGATTCTAAATTAATTTGATCTTTTAACTCCCAGCTACTGAGTTTCCTGGGCTTTTTAAAAATATTATTTTATGGTGACTTTTATTTTCTTTTTCACAAATAAAACCTGAATAGTGGAAGCTGTGTTTCTTCAGCAAAATTGCACTTAATTCTTATTTCCACTCAAGTAGAACTAGAAAACTTTGACCAGATGCAAGAATGTTTTCATGATAATACAAATGTACAAATGGAATGAATTTTGTTTACCATAAGGATTTTATCTAACACGATTCAAGACATCAGTGTACCCGTTCAAGGAGTATCAACTGCCACCTGTGATACCTTTTTAAACTGGAGACTATGAGCATTAATTTTTTAAAATGTATTTGGAGAAATTAACTCTCACAGGAAGGGAAAAGGATGCATGGCTTAGCTTCTTCAAATCAATACTATAAATCTGCCCGATGAATAACAAAATAAGAGTTAATGCTTTATTGAAGTTGAAAAGGGTCACAAGTATTACCTTTGTTATCCACATACTTTTTTAAAATCTTAACTAACACTGGGACTCATACATAAGTCAGAATGATGGTGCTCAAATAATAGATCTATAAATTCTATGGCCATAAGAAGTGTTTACAATCTTAAGAAAATGTTATAGGTTTAGACCAATTACATAAAATGAGAAAATACTGTCAATTGTATAAACTTTGAAATATCTAGTTCTATACTTAATTCTTATAAGTAAAAGACTAGAAAATTAAAAAGTTAAATAGGAATAAATTTCACAGTCGGAATAGTAGGAATTATCTTTTTTTCCTCGTCAAATTGAAATGAGAATTCTCCTAGAGAATATTAAGTATTAATTATCCCATTAAGGGTAGTAGGACCAACTCTTGGTAGGGAGTAGAAGATCTGCTAGAAAAAGGAACATGATAGCTGGTGGAACATGTGGCCTCTCTGAGCCTTTGTTTTCTTTCATCTTTAGAAACCTTTCAATGTATCTGAAGCTCTAAGAGTTCATAAAGATCCTCATTTTACAAAGAAAAAGTACTTAAGACCTAGAGTACTGAAATGACTTCAAGTAGACCAAGCAGGATTTACACATCTATGCTCTTTCCATTCCTCAGCACTGTCAATAAGATTGCTAATGTCGCTATCAACCCTGAAACAACCCCAGTTGTCATATCTGGGGTAAGAACCACTGAAAACAATGGTAGATGAATGAGAACACCAAAGTATTTCCCACTCACTTGGTATACTGTGAAGTGGAGGAGGAGGCACGTTGTTAACAGCTGTCATGTGAGACAAAATAGCTGCTGGAAGAGAAGACATAGGCATCTTGATGGCTCAAAGGCAGAGGACCAGAGGCTGCTTGAGAGGTAAATGATCACTCTTTGCCTGCAGGCTCATAAAGCAGAACTTCAAGGTCCTCTCTGATAGGCTGAATCCTATGGAATCTTCTTGTTCACAGTTCTTATCCATTGTTTGTGCATTTCCAAGAGTAGAATCTAGACCAGGAAGAACTATGCTATATTTCAGTCCAGTGGAAATCATGAGTAGGACTTTATGAGCTATAGAGAGTAGCAGTAATGAAGAAGGAAACTGTAGCAGACAAGGCCGATACAGCAGAATCAACAGCACTCATGAGTCTAGGTGAAATGAAAGTGTTCACTTCCTTGGTCTTCCATAGTCCAGAGCCCTTTTCCTACCTACCAAATGTTTACACTGGGTATCACAGGCCCTTTTTGTACCAGCAGTAACAGGGATAGCATATTTATACTGTTCTTCATGGCTACATATATAGAGTAAACCATCCCTTCTAATTATCATACACCAATAAACCCACCCCTGCTTACATTTAACCATATTCTGCTAGAATGTGGTACATTTTTGTGTTATTTTCTGCTGCTTCACAATAATTAAGAATAGTCACAATGGCGAGGATTTAGAATCCTAACTAATGTATCTTTTGATGCTGTGTATTATCTTCCAAGGCCTTTAAAAATATGTTCCTGGTTTCATAACTGTTACAGTCATATGGACAGGAGACAGGGAAACACTGGGTAGAAGAGGGCAGTTCCCTAGTAAAGGCCCCACCCTCAAGCCTGGAGACCTGCAGCCTTAGATGGGGACAGGCATTCCTGTTTTTGCACCTAAAAAGTTGCCTTTTGCCCGCCACACACCCTATCCTGTACCCATATAAAGCCTGAATCCCAGGCTCCAGAAGCAGACGAAGAGATGAGACAAATAGATGAACGACAGAATGACATGGCAGAGAAAGTGAGAAGAGGAGGAACATCCGAACACTGAGAGGAGTTCAGCCGCTGGACGATCAAACTCCAGGGGAAGATCATTTTCCCACTCCATCCACTTTCCAGCTCCCCATCCATCCTGCTGACAGCCACCTCCACCACTCAATAAAACCCTGAGTTCTTCCTTCAAGCCCATGTGTGACCCAGTACTTCTGGGATGCTGGGCAAGAATTCAGGATACAGAAAGCTGTCACACTGGCCCTCTACCCTTGTGAAAAGGCAGAGGGTCTATTGAGCTTGTTAACATCAAGCCATCCATGGAGGGCAGGGCTACAAGGGCACACTGTAACACATGCCCACTTGGACTCCTGCACCTGTCCGTCTGTGTGCTCCCCCTCCCCACAGGGTTTCAGCAGCAGCGACTATCAATCAAGCAGGCAAACCACAATCCTGTCACACATCCTGTGAGGGGAATCAGGGAACTCTCCCATTTCATCAGGTAATATACAAAAGGACTGTGGCTCTCTGATACCTGAGCTGGACTGGTAGAGTGTTAACCAACCATTTCTTAAGCAACTTCATCTAGATAACATTAATAACTAGAATAGAAAACATTAATTATATTACAAAAGTAACAAATCCATTTTGCAACAGTTTCTATTAAATTATATCTGTACAACAAATTTATTTTGGTATAACTTTTCAATTGAGTATTTTCCTACTTCCAGTTTTACAAAGTCCAAACTCACCATAGACTCAATTTTGTCACTGAGTCTCATCACTATTCTTTTTTTTTTTTTTTTTTGACCAAGTCTCACTCTGTCACCCAGGCTGGAGTGCAGTGGCTCAATCCCAGCTCACTCCAACCTCCATCTCCCGGGTTCAAGCGAGTATCCTGCCTCAGCCTCCCAAGTTAGCTGGGATTACAGGCAGGTGCTGCCACACCCAGCGAATTTTGTATATTTAGTGGAGACGGGGTTTCACCATGTTAGCCAGGCTGATCTCGAACTCCCAACCTCTGGTGATCTGCCCACCTCGGCATCCCAAAGTGCTGGGATTACAGGCGTGAGCCACTGCACCCAGCCTCATCACTCTTCTTTATCTTGCATTCTTTCCATGCTAGCCACCTGCCTAGCTCCCACTTCAGAATGGTTCCTTGCCTTTCCAACTGTCCCCTCATTGGTAATCCCTACTGCCATAATTCTACAGGTTTTCTAGATCCATTCTCTTCCCAGTCTCACATTTAAAACCCAAAGAACTGAGGACGTGAATTTTTCATCGATGTTAACCAGATGGGGCTATATAAAATGCTGTTTTTCTCTGACACACAGTTCTAATCAAACAAATGTAGGAGAGGAAGTTTTCTAAGGTCCTAAATTTGTGATGACCAATTTCCTCTCTGACTCCAAGTGAGCAGTTCTTATTTTTGTTTATTTTCTAGTTATTTTCCTTCCTTTCCATATTTTCCCCTTTCTCTTTTCTGTATTTCATATGTAATAAACCTTACATACTGAAAGTCATATAATATCATAGTTCACATCAACCTGGACCTTGCTTGAAAACAATTTTAAAGAAAGAAAATATGAGAAGTGACAATGCAAGTGAACAAGAACATTATGGAGTAAATAGCAAAATAAACAACTAGAATAGCTTACTGAATTTTATCTAAGTCTCTGTAATATTCATAATTGTGGGTGAGCATCTGCTAGTATCTGCTGATATATGTCCAGAGAAAATCCATCAAATCACAAATTCAGCTCCCCTAAATGTTTCCTGTTAGTCTTTTCAATATATTCTGAATTCTTTTGAAATTCATTCAAAGAATAATAACATAATCACACAATTTGTCTTTGAGAGATAGCTGTATTACATTGTTTACCAATGCCTGGACAGTAAAGTCTAATTGTTTCCAACCACTTACTTACAAAATTATCTTGGACAAGTCACTTAATCTGCCTTGGCCTCAATATCCTGATCTATGCAGGGATAATGATATGATAATACCTCATAAAAATATTATGAATATTAAATAAAATAATGCAGAAAGGTCCTAGCACAGTACCTAGATATAGTAATAACTCCATTTTTTATTAGTAATATTACTATTGCTGAAGTAAACTTTGAAAAATTCATATGGATTAAATATTTTTAATACTTTAGTAAAAGGCAAAAAGATATAGTCATTCTGAAGAGAAACCAGAACATAAATATTTTTAATACTTTAAATACTTTTTTAAAAGTACATTTAATATGGGTTCCAATTATTTCTGCTACACAGTCAGCAGTAGTATATTACAGGTTCATTTTTCAGGATGTACCTTAAGTATTCATTCTGTATTGCAAAAACCAATAATAATCAAATTTACCATGACACTGTTTCTAGATACTATTCTAGTGTCTATTAACATTTCTAGACACTATTAACATATTTAATATATCAAATATGCCCTATTTTGATTTTGAGTGTTTAATTCTGTTATTATATTTTAACTCTATTTATTAGAACAGATATGTCAAATTAAGATAACTGGCATAATTTTATTAAGAGATCTCAAAAGATTTTCCAGAACAATGTCTGTTGGGCTGAAGATATGCAAGTATAATATACGTTATACCCAAGTCATTTCATTGGATAAATTTTAACTAAGCATATTTCCAGTGCTTTTATAACCCTGTAGCTGATGCATGTAACGATTAAATGGCAAAGTCCAAAGAAGCAACAAGCAAAAGTCCAAAACTGCTCCTGAGCGCTGGCAGATAGGCTCTCAAGAGACATATCCCAAAAGATATTTTAGAATCCTAAAACTGTGGAAATCTATTAATAGAAAACAATCTCACAATATAATCAATACATATGGAGTAAGGTAAATTTAGATCATTCCAGTGTCTGCAGGAGAAAAAAAAATGTATAAAATGGGGGCTTTTAGTTTGCTGAAGTTGTACACACTACAGTTTTAGTTTGTGAAGTAGGGTAGACAAATTGAGATACTTTTTAGAAATAATATAAAAGACAGGTCAGCCTAGAGAATAAGAGGAGTAGGAGAAGACAGTGAGAGGAAAAGTGGGCAGTAATCACAGACAGGCTTTTAGGGGAAGAAATAGAAATTATTTAGAGAGGATTTTTAGCGATTTTTGCAATATAAAAAAATCAGGCTCTATCACTCTAAAAATACAGACTTTTTTCAGTAAAAATTATGTGTTAGTTAAATTTAAGTTTTGGGGGAAGTACAAGAACATTTTAAGACTGGCTTCAAAAAGTCCTAGCAAAAGCAAGAGGGTTTTGGTCACTTTGAGGTTAATGGAGAAGATATTCACACACAGAAGGCATTTTGAAAGAATAATTTCAGAGTATATTCACATCCAAGGAAAATTACATTTTTTGATATCCTCGCTTTTTATAAAGTCATGAAATTTTACATAGAATTAACTATATAAAATATATTTGATAAAAGCCTGAAATATTATACTAGAAAGTCACTGTATTTTTAAAATGGAATTTCGAGTATGTCAGTACTTAAGACAGCACAGTACAGGACAGAGCTGACAGGCTTTGAAGCCATATTGAGCCAAACCTCTTTGGTGTGACCCCTTGGTTAAGTCATTTAATTTAACTAAGCCCTGGTTTTTTGTTTGTTTGTTTGTTTGTTTGTTTGTTTGTAAAATTATAAGACTGAGAGTAACTTCATAGGATTATTGAGAGAACTGTAAATAAGCAAAGTGACTACTTAATTATGATGATGATTATAAATGTTACATTATGTTAAACATGCAAAACATTTAATACAGTGCTTGACATATAATATACATTCCAAAAAGAATTACAGTTCCTTTCCTTTCTTTCTGCAATGGCATGTCAAGCTAATGTACAAGAAAGCAGCCAGTCCAACGAGGACTGGCGTACATCAAAATGAGATGACTACTCACTTGGAACACTGAAGTGGCTCAGCATATGACTCAGAAACTAGAAAAAAGGAACAAAAAAATAATAACCAGGACATAGAAAATATATTAGATATTCTTGACTAAGGGTTTCAGCAACAACTGATGTGATACAATTCATTGAGCATAGCAGACTCCACAGTATTTTGACATGTATGTTATTATCCTATGAAGTATCCAGAAGACACAAGCAGACATATTATATCAGCAAACTTTACCAAA